CACTCCAGTCCACCTATTGATAGTACCCTGGAGGAGCACCTGTATAAACAATCCGTGCTCATCCCGCTATCATTTTCAATAAACAAACTTAAAGACCTTGAAATGTAGATCAAATGTTCAAAGAAAGAAAAGAAAAACAATGTTTCCAAGCCTCCAAGTCTCTAAGTGGCATGTTACTTCTTTTCTTCTACTTTTACTCCCCTCTTTATATTCCAAACTTAAGGAGAAAAAGAAAAGTTCTTAAAGAGAAAATACAATAGAGCATTGAAAAAAGAAAAAGAAAGAAAGTCTTAATCAATAAGTATTAAAAAAGGAAAAATAGAAGAAGAAAAAAATCCCGGTCCAGTTTAAAAAGTAAGAAATGTTTGTAAAAATTCAATCAATAAAAAGATTTTAAAAAATAACACACTAAGTTTGACTCAGGCTTAATCTCACCGCTTAACCTCTTCTGTCTTCGATTTTAACTTTACTTTTGATCTTTTTGGGTGTTCTCTTCTCTAATAATAAAATTTATCTCACCAATTCGACACACTTTCTCTCTCGCTTTTCTTCTGTTCTGGAGCTGTCCCAACTTTCAGCAGCTTCAATGCCTGCTTCTCTGTGGCCGGAAAAAAGAGCTTCTCCTGGACCTACCAGGGACTTTGCGATGTCCCTGGGATCAGCATTATGTGCCCTTCTCCATAACCATCTCTATGGGATGGTTTAGGTCCAAAGGGACTGTCCAGCAGCAGATATATCGACGATGATCTTGGAGCTCTAAGATCGCACATCGTATCGGCGCGATGTCAGCTCCACCCCTCGACACCAATAACTTCTGATTCACTCTCTCCTTCAATTTCAGGCAACCCACTTAGCTATTAATATATACCATTCTCCGTGTGCATGTCCACACACGCCTTCAAGTCAACATTGGGCAAGAGTGACTGACCCAATGTCACCCAGCTTGCTTTTTGCCTAAGAGAGAACTAGAATTCACAGTATCATGGTTTCTACCCTGGCGCCTTAACTATTATACAATAATGACTGTCCTATAACATTGAGTTGACACAAAGTAATGGAAATCCCTTTTTTATACTTAAAGTCAATTTCTCAGCCTCAGTCCCTTCTATATTCTATATTTGTAATGACAGCATCATGATGGTCAACCCACAAAACCCCATTTTACAATCACAATATCCAAACCAAAATAGTGCATATTTAAATCCCACTGATTAGATGGAATATTGATTATTACTGAGGTCAGTGGGATGCTTAACTCACTTAAAGGAGAAATCCAGTTTGCTATGATAGACAGAAATGAAATTTAGCAAAAAGAATAAATTATTAAGGTGAATTTCAATACCTCTGTTAGAAGCCAGAATTACTCTTATCCAATAAAAGGGGTCAGCTGAATCCGATGACATAATACCAAAAAGGGGAATCTGGATTAAAAAAAAAAATTAAGCAAAATTATCATAGGTTTGGCTCTTTAACTTTGGTTTTAAAGAAAGGATTCAAGGAATAAGGATTCAATGAATACCTGGCAGCAGACCAAAAAGATGAAGAGTGTGATAGCTGTCCATAGCACCTTTTCTTTAAACTGGATCTACAATAAGAGATGAAATTGTTAAAATAATTGTCATTGCCAACATTTGGCTAGAACAAAGCATGACATATCCTTGAGAAAAACAGCTAATATTGTACATGACTTTCAAGAAGCTCAATACTTCTTTACTTTTTTTCCCTGACAACTCTCCAAAAATGCTAAATAGAAGGCTGAGGGACTCTCCAATTGCTGTCATATAGGATTATATCTGTTATTGTAATTTAGAAACCAGAAATGCAATATGTTCAATATATTTAAATTTCCAACATTTCCACATTGCTTTTACTAAAACACACACACACAAACAATAACATGAGCAGAACTTTGATAAAAACAAAGCTTTCCAGTTAAAATTATCCTTTAGTTGACCCCAAAGAAGTTACTGGTATCATAAATTCCTATAGGCACTCAGTTAGAAATCATAAGTAGAGGCATAGTCATGCTGATATCTATAAGTAAAATTCTATGTATTTCAGTAAATGTCATCAAAGTTGATAGCCAAATATTTTCCATATATGCTAACTAGGCAAGGACCACTGTAAGAACAGCTCTCTGATGCCTTTCAGGCAGAATATTATGGCAAAATGAAAACCAACCAACCCCATTTATTGGGGACAGAAAAAGAACCATTTTAACAAACAGCTTGTTTCCCCTTCCTTTTCTAGAAGCAACATTTAATTCTGCTAGTTGGATTGGCAGCCTGAACTGTGCAAATGAGAAAATTGTATCTTGAATTCTGCCATCAAGCAAATGATGCATCATTTTATTCAAGGTAGAGAATAAACATATTATATTCTAGTTAATCATACTGCTGTCATTTGCAGGACAGATATTCATTTTTGCCTTTCCATTCAAACCCTACTATTGTGTTCCTTTAAAATAAGATGTTAAAAGGACCTAGAGGGTTTAACTGAATAACTTTGGAATACATTTAAAAAAAAATAGGGAAAAGGACAAAAATGTTTCTTCCTTTTAATCTTTTATAAATATTCTGCCAAAACTATAATTCTGTAATGTATATATTACCTTTCTTTCTGGTTTTTGAATTTCTGGTAAGATAACGCAGAAGGGCTTGATTACTTCAAGAAATTTAACTGTGAAGAAAATTTTGAGAAATTAAGCAGACATCCATCAATTAACAAAGATTCATCAAAAAGAAAAATCTTAGCTTGTTCAAAATCTATTAATTGCTAATCTATACAGTTATCTATGCAATTATCTATATTTTGGGGATTGGACTAGAAGACCTCCCATGTCTCTTTCAACCCTATGATTCTATGATCTTGAACAAATCAAATATAGAAAATGATCTGGACAGATAGACACATAATGCTTAGTCCTGTTTGAAGAAAAATAAATGGAAGATCATCACATCATATACAAATTAAGTTGTTACCTCTACTAAATCTGTGTTCTGAAGTCAAAGACAATCAAAACAAGGAGTTTGTAATAACAATGGCATACCTAACTTGCATTCTCTTTAATTTCCCAACAAGAACAATTTGTAAGAGCACTGTGATGATTGCTGTTGATTTCAGCATTACCTGTGATGTTCCACAAATATTAAAACTACAAGACTTCCTTCAGGTCACCTTGTGCTTATCACTCAAACTATTACAAATGCACTGCTGATAATATCAATCTACATGAGGCACGTTATTAAGATTATTTTTGATCTGCTTCTAAATATCTTAAAAGGAAGCCAGTAAAAAAAAAGGGGGGGGATCAGTAACAAATGAAGATTAAAATCCTAACAAATTGTAAGAAAGAACATAGATAATATTTAGGACCAATCAAGGGCCAAGAAGTTTATAACAATTAACATCACATGTTCAAATACAACCCATGGGGGAAGGGAGGGACTCTAGCTTGCCTCAAAACATTGTCAGAGGGAACTTAAGAAGCGCAGCATTTCATGTGGGATTTAGGTTTTCTGAAGCAAGCACAAGACTGACAGCAGCTGTAAATGGTCAATCAGGATGATCATGTATCATATTCTGGGGATAATTGACCTTTTAAACTTGCACAAAGTTATAATCGGATGCAGTTTGGTTTGCAACTACACCCAGGCTCCAAACACAAGAGTTAACCCCATTTCTATTTGCTGTGAAAGCATCCATTGTATTTATTTATTTAGTTTGTCACTCATGTACAAGATAACATGAATAAAATAAACCTGAACAAGAACCCAAGAAATGGGAACAAATAAATGAGGACAATAGGACAGGGATGTTAGGCACACTGGTGCGCTTATGGACGCCCCTACTGATCTCTTAGGAATGAGGTGAGGTCAACAGTAGACAATCTAAGGTTAAAGTTATGAGGGGTTGGGGAAGAAACAACAGAGTCAGGTAGTGCATTCCAGGCATTGACCATTCTGTTGCTTAAGTCGTATTTTCTGCATCCCCCGACAAAGCGGAGTATTTTATTTGTGATTCCACAAAATACTTCAAAACATTTCAGATTTGACCTCCAACAATCTCGCGTGTACATAGGCTCCGATGAAAATCCGAACCTGGTCCGAACTTTAATGTTTTTGTTATGTCCTTCCCATTTTTGCAAGATAAAGGAGACTTAGCCTCGAATTGTTCCTCCTATTGACGGACGGAGCTCGGAAGAGGTCCCCTGAACTATTTCTTGAATAGTTACTGTCTCGGGATAGTCGCCCTTCAATCACCCAGAAATGCCCCCCCCCCGACACCGTCTGTCTCGCCAAAAAGCTCCCCCCCCGACGCCGACAGCCTAAGCGGGCGCACATGGCGACCACCATTCAGAGGGGCTCCACAGCCTGTCTGTCCCCCACAGACCCCCGTCTCGCCGCATCTCCAGGCAAGGACGCCCGTTGCCTCCCCCAAGCCGCCATTTCGCGTCTTTCACCTTCAACCTCCCCACCCCATAACTGGTCGTCCCCTCCCAGCAGCGTCTCCGTTCCTCCTCGAGACCATCTCGGTGAATGGAGGGCTCCCTCCCTCTTTCCCTTCGCCCGCTACTGCTCTCCACAGTCGCCTCTCGCCAGCGCCTACATCGCCGTCCAGCGATACTCACTCCCCATCTCGGCGCCCTCAACGCGGAAAAGGAAGGGCCGAGCAGCAGCAGCAGCAACTCCCGACGCTTCCCTCAGAAAGACACGTCAGTTGATGGAAGCCCCACCTCCGGTTCCTTCCGGTTCCTGCCACGCACTGGTAACCGCTACCAAAGCCTTGTACGTCCGCGCAAGCGCGCTGAGGCTTTTTTTTATTTTAAATCTACCTGCTGAATATATTTTTCCCTAGGACTACAATTCCCAAAAGCCCTTTGAGACCGGGAAAGGCTCTCTGGAGAAAATGGTAGGGCGGTCTCAAGTCCGTATTGACGGGATCCAGGGAATGCCTTCCCACTTGTTCGCGCTTCCTGGAGGTCGCCAGCGTGGCTTTAAAAGGGTTTGGTTTTTGGATGTTTTTTTTACACTGTTTGGATCTACGAAGAATAATTTGCCACGTGTTATTTACAGTCGGCAATTTTTTATAAGCCGTTATAAACAAAATGAACCAAATAGATTGGATGGAGAGGGAGAGAGAAAGAGAAGCGAATATTTTACAGACTATGCAGCGAATTCAAAATACTGACAAGTATCAGATCTGCAAGATCAGGTCTGCAAGAATTGGAATTATTCTGTTAGAATTATTCAGCGCTTTCTGGAAGGGCTGGTGGGCAGAAAGCCAACTTTCCTCCTAGTCCTGTAGCAGAGCTTTGCCAGGCAATGCTGCACATTTTTGAGCGCCTTGCCTAAATCCACTGGATTTAATGGGTAAATCAGACACCACATGATCTCTTTCGTGTTTTGTACAATCTTTTTTGAGGAGAAAACTGAAAATAATAATAAAACCTTTCTGCCAAGGGTCAACATATAGAGAGGCAAAAACATAGTGGCTTAGTTTATACATTGCACTAAGCCCTGTGTCCTTACCATAATGTATGAACTCTGCATACATGACATAAAACCAAAGCAAATGACATTAAGCTGGTTAATACAGTTCATTAAACTAAAAAAGTGATTATCCTTTCTCTGTCTTAGCATGTATAAAGTTACTTATTCTGATTTGCAAACTTTGGCTTAGTTCAGGGGTGTCAAACTTGATTTCCACATCAGGATTGTGCTTGTCCTGGGGTGTGATGGCCAGGGTGTGTGGCCATCTTGACAACACTCATGTCGGGGGCACCTGTAGCCCCAATGGGGCTGTGGAATCCATTGTCTCCAGTGGAGGAAGACCAGGGAGAACTCTGTTTTCGACTGCGATGGCCTCCTGCAGCCCTCTGCCAGCAAACATGGAGCTCTGTTTTCACTGGTAGAGGCACCTATGTTTCCAGGGCAGTCCCGCGAGCCAGATCTAAGCATCCTGTGGGCCTTGAGTTTGACACCCTTATGCAAACCTGGCTGGGAAATTCTGAGAGATGAAGTCCACAAGTCTTAAAATTGCCAAGGTTGGACACTGATGGTTTAGATGAACTGAAATATACTTTGTTTAAACCATAATTTACTGGATTAGCTATCACGTTTTTGAAAAACTTTAATATATTTTGTTGGCTTAGTGCAATGTGTAAATCCAGTTTCTAGGCATGTTAAACTATATGAATTCTCTCTCAGGATCAAAAATAAGAGTAAGTAGATTACTGATGATGGTCTTAGGGTGGCTGCCCTCATCGAATAGGATATTGCAGGGCTGTCAAACTCAAGGCCTATGGGCTGAATGTGTCACGTGCTAGCCACGCCCACACCCGATTTAGTGAAGGGGAAAAGTCCCAACACGTCACGTGATTCCACCGTAACGACGGGAGTTTGATACTCCTGGAATATTGGATAGATTCTGTATTTTTTGAAAATAAAAGCACTTCTTAAAACAGTTACAATTGCAAGAATGCAGAAAAACACTTGAAAAACTCTGGGCAATTCTCTTTTTTATTTCAACTGTTACAACAAAGAGTAGTCAAGTAGTCCTTGACTTATAACCTTTCATTTAGTAACCATTTCAGCTCTGACAAAACTTACAAGCAGTCCTTGCACTTATGTCCATTGTTGCATCCCCACAGTCACATGATCAAAATTTAGGCCCTTGGTCAGTGGTGGGATTCAAATAATTTAACATCCAGTTTGCCCAGGGTCAGGTTGACTTATCGTGGGAGGTGTGGCCCATCCCCGTCCTCCAGCTGTGCCGCACATGCGGAACAAGCCTGCCATGACGGCCAACCTGACCCTGGGCAAACCGGTTGTTAAATTTCCACCCTTTGCCAAAAGGCTGTTTCCGGGGGTGCTTATCTGCACATTGGTCTCACAGCTGTTTCAGCCTTCTGAATGTGGCTCCTTTAAGAGGTGAGGTTTCCGAGGAATGAGGTTGGAGGTTAGCATTGAGCAAGAGTTGATGCTCCCGAGAGATTGCGTGGGAAGGTGAAGAATTGGAGGGAAGTGGAGGGAGTGATTTCCCGTGGAGCTGCATGCAGGGGGTGTTGGTCAGTCTGTGGACAAAAGTGAGAGGGATTTCGAATTAAGTTGGCAGCACCATCGAAACTGGGCCCAATGTAGGGAAAACTATGGAGTTAGTTTGGCCAGGCAAATGATTACCCTCCTACTATCAAAGTGGAGGAAGACGAGCAGGGAGAAAAAAGAGGGAAAACAGCCTCCTTCCCTCACACTGGCCGTTCCGTTGTCCGTTTCTCCATTGCAGCGCAGCACCCAGGATCCACTTTCATAGTGGGGTGTGTGTGTGGGGATAATTTAAAACTGGTTCAATTGAACCACTGCGAACCAGCTGAATCCCACCACTGCACTTGGTGTACTGTCCCATTCATACACACACATAACCATGGTTTTAATGGGTTTATTAATATTCCCCAGCAATTCCCTTCACCAAAAACCCAGAACTGTCCCAAGTAAGTCCAGCCACAAGCAGACCAAGCTAGTCCACAGAGCAATGGCAAATGAGTTCACAAAGCACGTGAAAATTTCCCAATCAAAATAAACCCATCAGGCAAAATTAAATCCACAACACAAGGCATGATGCAAGACAAGGCACGGTGTCAATCCAAAGCAATGTAGGAATAACAATGACCAGAAAACACACAATAGAAATGAACACATTGTTCCCAGCATCACCTCCATCTGTCTACTGAACTGAATAGCCAGCTTCCAGTGCAGCACATCAAGGGTAAGGCTGACCTTTGCTGCTCCTGCCTTTTCTCTGCCATACAAGTTCTTGGATCAGTGCAGAAGGCAGTTCCTCTTCATCATCCCTGACCAGCTGCAGCTACGTACATGCTTTCTCCATCTGATACCTCAGGGCTGTCCTGCTGCAGCTGTGCTTTAGCCAAATCCCTCTCAAATGGCTACTTGGAACACTGACTAATCCCCCTCCTGACGTGCCAGGAACTGGTTCATCATACTTTGCAATTGGCATCTACTTATTTATGATGGTTGCAGATCATCATTTGTGATTTTCTCAGCCAGATTCCAACAAGCAAGTTCAATGGAAGAAGCTGGATTCACTTAACAACTGTGTGATTCAATTAACAACTGATTTGCTTAATGATCACAGCAAACGTGTGATTACAAAATCGAGCGTGACTCATTTAACAATTGTCTTGCTTAGTGATGCAACTCCAGTCCAAATTATGGTTATAAGCTGAGGACTACCTGTATTGCTTATGTTTTACCCTCCTCTCATCCAAAATGTAATGTATGTAAAGGTGCTCCATACATCCAGGCTATGATCCTATAAAGGTTAAGTGTTTGTGTTGAAGCTGAATGCTAGCCCTTGTAAACAAAAAAACTTGCCATGTGCAAGGATCCGTGTTTACTCTGTGTGCAG